AAAAAAAAAAAAAAAAAAATAGTATATTTATAAATAAATAAATAATTTGATAATTTAATTAACGACTTTAACTTTTTTTAAATTAGTTGGTAATTTAAGGTTTATGTACTACATTAAACACCAATTTGGTCGACGAGAAAAAACGTGCAATTTGAAAAAGAGATTAAAGAGATTTCTGTAACATAGATTTCGTAACATAAAATAGATTTTTGTAACATAGATTATGTAAAATAGATTTTGTAAAATAGATTTATTTGTAAGAGATTTTATAAATAAAAAAGAGATTTGCAAAAAAAAAACTAGAATATTTTTTTAAAAAAATAGAATTATTTATAAAAAGAGAATTGTTAAAAAGATAGAATTGTTATAAAAGAGAATTGTTCGAAAAAAGAAAATTGTTTGACTTTTATGAACATGTGAAAAATTCTCACATCACATCATTTTGAAAGAAGGCAGATTTTTAGGATTTGGGACGTTTATAGTAATAATAGACACGAATTGTTTATTAAAGTTCGCGTATTATTACGTTTTATTTACTGTATTTATTATTATTTTCTTTTTTCTTTTTTTTTTTTGATTTTCAGCTTTGTCAGGTTTGTACTTGTAATTAAAATTAAAAATAAGCACGCGAGATAAATCTGGAAAACTAAATATGTTTAGTAGTAATATTAATGATTATTATGTAAATATTTTAACAAAATCTCGCTTTAAAATAATGTGATAATGCGATAAAATGCGATAACTTGTCCCAAATTCGGACTAAATGTAATTATTGATTTTTTTGTTAATATGTCAAAGCGTTTGCATTTTTATTATCCGTTATTATTATTATTATTATTATTATTATTATTATTATTTATTATAATTTTATTATTATTTTTTAATTGTTATTGAAATTGCTATGTTATTATGTTTTATTTTATCATTTTATTTTTTTTTTGTTGTTGTTATTCATCAATATCATCATTATTTATTCTTTTCCATTCTTTTCCAACATGGTTCATTATTTTTGCGCCTGGGGAAATATAGTACCCAGGGGTACTTTACAATATACATTCTAACAAGGAAATTATACTTGCTATACATGGGTGTACCATATGATATAACAATTACAATTAATCGTGAATGTAATAAATAAAAAGGAATAACTACCTAATTTGTCTAAATGGAATTATCTTTTTTATCAGTGATTTTGATTCCAGACCATAAATAGATAAAATTTCAAAAATAAATATTTTTTTTCGCTCAAAATAGAAAGAAAACAAATATAATTTTATACATATTTATTTATATATTTTTTTTTGTTTGATGATATGTTGATTTAAAAAGGCGAAACTGCAACACGACATTTAAATCGGGTACAGATATCACAGATAGTTGAAAAATGTTGTTGAAAATTGTTGTTTACTAGTAAATGTTGTATCAATGTATCAGTAGTGTTGTTGTTTACCGGTAAATGTTGTATCATGTATTGAATGTTGTATCATGTTCTCCAACTTTATTATTCAATTATTGGATACATCCTTTTTTGGAACTATTCCCCATGTTAGCAAAGTTATTTATATAAAAATTCTTTATCTTTTTTTTTTTTTTTTTTATTTTTATTTGCTTATAAGAAGGAATAATATTAAAAACTATTAAAACGAAATTAGAAATTATAAATACAAGTTTTATATATATAAATTTGTATTTTTTTTTCATTTTTTTTCCTTTGTTTGTTTGGGCAAAGTGTTCGTTTTACGACAAGTTTCGTTTACATAATTTCAAATTTTTCGACAAGTTCTAGTTTTGCGTAAAATTCAAGTTTTAGTTTTCGTAACATTCAAAATTTTTCATCGCTTACATAAAAAATTTTTAGATTAAAAAAATTTAATTGCCTGATTTTTTTGAGATTATGTAATAAGAATGATAAATCATTATCACATTATGACATATAATTGAAAAATAAAATTCAGATTTATAGATTTATTTTATTTATTTATTTATTTAGTTGATTATCTCACTAATACTATTAAAAAAAACCAAATTAAGTTTTGAAAGTGACAATTATACTTTACTGTATATTAAAGTACATTATTATTTTTTTTTTTTTAAAGTTGTTACGTTATATGGAATTTTATATATTAAAAGTGCCAAAATTTTTTATTACGAATTACTGGTTCGTCCGTAATCTTCCGAAACGATAAAATAATGTTGAACTTGTACAGTATTGTTTTGGTGATATAAAGGAAGAATTTTCTGGAAAGATGATTATTGACTTTTTTTCTTTATCAATATTTAACCCGTGATTTACAATACTTTAAAATGGCGAAATTTGATCTACGATTGCATTTTCCATACTAAGCTTTCGAACTTTTTTCCTTCAGCTTAAAAATTATAATCATTACGAACTCCGTAAATAAATTAGCAAGAATTAATTGGAACTTGTTGAAAGGGGTATATAATATATAGTACTTTAAAGGCTTAGTCCCTCGGAAATAATTTCATGCCATATAATTATTTTACCTTACGTAACTTCTTTTCTATTTAAATTTTCCTTACGTGGTCGTGAAAATCAAAAATAAGCTTAATGGTATAATCATGCTTCTGTGATATACAGTATCGATATGTTAATATTTAGGACTTTTATTTCTTTACGTGCCAATATATATATACTGCCAATAGAACAAAATGTAGAATAGGTGTCCAAAAAAAAATCTTTTTTTTTTTTTTCAAGGTTCTCAGAATGTGAAACAGTGAAAGGCGTTGTCACATTGTGACAATTTACTAAATACTAATATTCTAATCCTAGACTCTGTTGCCAAACGTAACTCTACTGTCAAACATTAGAGGGGTACATTTTGTGTAGGAGTGAGTGCGTAGAATGCAAATTCTCATATTAATAACTCTATATATATTAAAAATTTCTTTCATTGTTTAAAATTTATAAATAATAATTTCTATATACCTAAAAATAATTATTATTTATTATTTTCCAATTGCAAAGAATAATCATATGGGAATATTAATTATTTAATTCGTAAACTGATTTGGTTACAATCGTGATTATTTTATCCACATGGCATTGTTTTGTTACAGATTTCTGAGATTTCTGCAAATAATTGAAATAATTGGATAATTTATTATCATCTAATAATTGAAAATGTAATAATAAAGTTTATTGCTTGTAATCTCTACAGATTACATACAGGAATACATTAATTAAAAAATTCCAGTGATATTATCAAAAGTTAAATTCAAAATGAATGATACTTTATATATTATAAATGCAATCAAAGTTAAAGATAGCAATTAAAAGTTAAAAATAGCATATATACCTTTTTTTTAATATGGGTGTTTTTCATATATAAGTAACCTTAGACTTATTTATTATTTAATATAAGTAAATATATAAGATGTTACTTTAATGTGTTGAATATATACTTTCTGGAATACAACCTACTATAATATCTTACATTCTTTCAAATTATCATCATATTTTTCTTTAATCTGTAGCTTTTTTCCAGTTTTATTAACAGTTCAGTAAAAATTATATTATCAAGTTTAAATATTCTTTTAGAAATTTTGGCTATAATTAAGAATTTTTTGATAAATATATATATAAAAAAAAAATAATAATAATAAATTTTATTTTAATAAAAACTTTACAAGTAACAGATTATATTTTTATTTTAACTTATTTGGCTAGATCTTAAGCCTTAAATTGCATATTAAATAAACTAATATGTTTGAAATTCCTAAAAAACTGTTTTTATTATGTATTATATATTTTGTCTCATATTATGATGATTTTAACTAGAATTATAACTACTTTGATCAGAATTAAGTTTAAAATAATGGTTGTTTAATTTTTATAATAGTATAATAACTTTTAATATAATAAATTTATTTTATACCAAATTTTTTTAAATATACAAATATTTAACTAATCAAATATATCATTTTATTATATAAATAAAATAACCAATTAAATTTTTTTATAACTATTCCTTAAACTATTTTGCAGCCAAATTTGCCTGCAATTTTATTTTTTAATTAAAGATACTTTTAAATATCTTAAAATATTTTATTACATAAACCAATATTTTTGTAATAAATTTTATAGTATTTTCTAAGTAAAAATTGAAAAAAAAGTTCAATTTGATTAATGATTTTTTTAAAAGTAAATGATCGACAAATTATAACAAATAGCTAGTAACTAAATTTTTCAAATTGAAATATCTTTTTATCCATTAACTCTAGAAATATAAAATTACCACCATTTGATATGTCTTAATAAAAAGAATCTGATTATTCTAATAGAAATAAATTTGTCCTTTTACAAATATTATGTGACAGGATAACTTATAAAACCTAAAAATTTATAAATTAATATAACTTTTATTTATCAATTTTAGAGTTATGATTTTATTACCATTAAATACGCCTTAATAAGAGAAATTCTATAATTACTAGATCTTAAGATATTTTAAAAATTCAAAAATTTTTAAAATCCTTACAGTTTAAGGGATAGCTTAATGAATTATTATTTGTTATATTAAATTAAAAATAAAATATTAAAAAATTATTTTTACTAAAAATAATAATTTTATTGGCAAAAATTTATTTTATATAATATATAAAATTTAAAAGATATTAAATATATTAATAATTTGCAAGATTTAAATAAAAATAAT